AAATAAAACTCTAGTTTTTGACAGACTTTGTTAGTGAGAAGTGTTAGCTTCGTCAAAATACCCACATTTACCTTATATTATATAAATAATTCATATTTTTTTTCAAAATATGCAGGATGTAGATTTTTTGTTCAAACCTTGTAAATAGATTCAAATCACTATTACCACTCAATTCTGTGATTATTTTATTAAATAAAGAAGCAAGAACTTTAATTATACATATCGTTTGTTAAAGATTTTTTACTAAAATTATATTATACTAACTGAATGATTTGAATTTTAGAGATCTTGTTAAGTCTAATATTGAACCAATAATTTTGCGCACTATGTATAGAAAAATGTGCACATTTGAAAATCTTGCATATTATGCATAGAATTCTACATAATACTTATTTCTAGATATGTACATACATACTAAAACTCTAGTGTTACTATTCTAAAAAAAATTTGCAACAGATGTTAGTTTGGATTTTATGTTATGCTTGAATTTAATTTGACTAGAGAGTGAAATTTTTTAAGTTGGTAATGCTAAGATAGTTAGACATGTATATACTGTCTGTTGGATTAATAATTATTTACACTTTTCAATAATAGTAGTATCATCATAATAATTTTTGTATAGTATTACAAAATGGCAGGCTATATTAAACTAATGCATAAAACACTTTTAAAGTTAATAGAACAGATTATACGTACCAGTGTTGGGAAGATTACTATGTCTAATTGTTTTTCAATGTTAATTTGATATATGTTCAAAACCAATTGGACGTGTGTCCAAAACAAATATGCCGTAGTTTTTCTAACACTGGATTATGCAATGCATTTACCATAATACTATTATTATAGCACCTTTATAAGAATAGCAATTTGAATATAACTTCATAAGCATAGTTTAAACTGGATGTATGTACACAGAAATTGCAGAATTATGTAATCTATTCTATCACATTATATACTTACAGAATTCACAACTTATTTCTTTCAAATACTAATTAATTTTTGTTTGGGCAAGTGCTAGTATAATGTCCAGGCTGTTTGCAGTAAGTACATCTCCTTACTCTACGTTCTGTCAACTCGAAGCCGGAGAAATCTCTTATAGTTGAATTATTTGTTCAGCGATTAGAGGCACCAGAAGGTCTTCCCTTAGTACAAACAACTTGAGGATTTTGCAAGACCATCAATGGAGTATTAATTATATGGTTCAGTTTCTCTTGTATAGCTACTTGTTGGTGTTCTGGCCATTCTTCATACTTTTCTTGTAAAGATTGCAAAAGGGGCTGTAGTTCATGAATATTTATTTCGACAGATGATATTGGTGAATGAGCTTGTATACACCAATGCTTATAAAAATCATCAAGCGTTAAGCTTCAATGATTTTCAAGAAGTTGGATTTGATGAGCACAAGGAAGTCCCATTGTGCTATAGAATGATTCGGTGCATAGTAGTAAAGGATCTTGTACCGTTGCACATTTTATTTTTTGATACTGCTCATCTACTTTTTTAAGGGCTAAATTAGAAATTTTGCCCTTAATATTTGCATATAGAGAATTATTTTGTGCAAAAATCAGGAAGCAAATTTTCTCTAATGCAATCATAGTATCTATTTCTTTTTTTTAATTTTTTACTACCAAGGCAATTTTTACATGAATATCATGAAGATCTTTTGCTGATGTATGTAGATATATCTTTAATGTTGCATGAGCACCCTCAACCCGAGAGGTAACAGTCGTCTCCAAATGAAAAAATCTATTGATCCAAGCTTTTACAAATTTCTCCTTCCAAGGTATCAAAACTTCTTCAAGATAGTAAATTATATGAGGCTTATTTGTATAAGTATTAAGAAAATTTGACTATTTTATATTAAATTCATTCTCCATTTGTGACTGAACAACTTTATTCCATTCTGAGAGAAAGGCCTTCCACTTGTTACCACTTTCAAATTGAGACTTACAATTTTTCATAATGTTCTTATTAATATGCCATAGGTATAATAAATTAGCTGAACCTAAAAAGGTTATTTTGAGTGCATTTATAAGGGCTAATTCTCTATCTGTTACTATAACCTTAGGATTTAGTACCCTGTTGAATAATTTGGTTATACAAGTTAACACCCATAGGTAATCCACTTTGTCTTCGTCTTTCATAAAGACGAAACAAGAAAAAAAAGTAGTGTTGAAACTGGTGATGCCAACAATATTTAGCAAAGTCATTTTAAACTTGTTTGTTTTGTAAGTACAATCCATAAGGATAATGGAGAAATATCAACAAGTAAGTAGAACAGATTCATTATAAGTGAAGAAAAGGTGAGTAATATGGCCTATATCATTATATTTGTATTCATACATATAATCATCTTCTCTAAGCTCATCAATCAATGCTTCAACTGGAGTACAGCCTGCTAAATTTCGTTGGCGAAGCTGCTGATGTGTGTTATAGATATCTTTATTTATTACTGATGCTGATAGATTATTTTGGCAAATAGCTAATATTATTTCCTGAGGACGTGAACCGGAGGTAGTCATTTTTGCAACCCTTGCTAATTGTTGATTTGTGAATCGACGTGATATTGGGTGCCCTGATAAATCTTTTGAGAGGTCATGAATATGATTACTATCATGAATTTCTATATGCTATAGATTATCATATCTAATAGCGTATAACTTAAAATGGCAATTAATCAACTAGGTACTTGTTTGTCTTAGAAGTATTTCTTTTCCACTGTAGATTCCACCCCAGTTACACCGCAATGCTATATTTTTCAAATTACTGTGCTAATCTTTATGTGTTCTTTTTTTCACCAACACATAACCTTGAGAATTAGCCCATATTTGAGCACTCTGAAAAAGTTTAGCAGCACTTTCATATGTTACAAGAGATGGTGAAAACATATTTTGGTTATAATTTTACTTTAAAGGATTTGTTATTATAAAGGGAAGTGTTTTATTTTTTTTTGAATTTTAGTAAAAACGTTTACTCATTCTCTTTTTAGTTTATAAATACCATCATTACTTCATTATTATGCATTGTATAGTGATGTTTTATTATTACACATCACTAATTTTTCTCTTCTGATTAATGCATCACCAAATATATTATCAAATTACATGCCAATTAATATCAATGCATATGAGTGCTACTAAGAAAATGAAGCTTCAGGTTTTCAAGCTTATTATTTGTTATTTATAAGATTCAGCTTATAAAAAGTCTAATTATATATGTTACTAGTAGGGCTGAATCCAGTAAATAAAAAATAATAAAATTAAAAGCCCAGAAGCCTTATTTTCCTTTGTTGCACTTATATGGAATATAACTGATGATAAGGATGTTAATATACCAAGATGTTCATAGAATAAAATAGTGAACATATGTCAAATTGTGATCAAAATAATTGAAACAATTGGATATAATGACATACCCAATACTACTTTAAGAACTTAACAAGATTATTTTAGTTACTATAGTTTATATTAGCAGTCAGAATATAATCTAATTTAGGCATTTATTCAACAAGGTAGCTGCATGGCACGAGTATGCAAAAACAAAGAACTGGGCAACGAATTTTGTAATCATGTATACTATACATAGCAATACAAATTAATCATGAAAAATAAAGAAATTCTCAACATTTTATATAGAGTGAATCTTACATTATATTTGATCAATTTAATATAACCTAATATGTGAACTTCAATAGAATAATTTAGAGATACTTAGATATCAAGATAACCAGGTTTTGATAAATATTTAATAGATGAAGTCAGTGATTATTTTTTGCTGTGCAGACTGTGCGCAGCATACAAAACAAAGCTCTTCATTTATAGAGACTTTCGTGTAATTTCATTTATGCTCTTATGAATAAATAACATTTAGCAATAAGGTTAGTATTTGGCATAATTGGGTGCCAGTATTTATATTTAGTGTCAGTATTGAGAACTCTCTAGAATATAGGTTTACATTCTAGATATGCTATTATCTATCTAGTTAAAAGCTTACACTCAATACCAGATCTAAATTATTATTATATTGTGCTCACTAGAGCTTTGACCTGGGTCTGAAAATACCAGCTTGGGTAGGTTAGGTATTTGACCCAAGTTATATATAACCCGGATCAATGGGTCAAGCAAAAATTCATAAATCTTTTAAGATAAATTCTTAAAAGTTGATGTAACTAGTATAGAGAGCAGTCACTGAGCAGCCTGTACTTAAATATTTAAATAGAATTTTTTAGATTTTGTATTAAAAAATTTCTTGACCTTGCTCATGAATTGAATTCGTTCATTTTCTGCTTTAGAAAATACCTGATTACTGCTGTTTTAAAAAATTCTAGAACACCTAGTAAAATGACGGAAGCTTCTCAATATATCTGTATCTTTGAGAGTGATGCCAGAATTATAAACTTAATTGAATCACATGTTCCAGAATTTATGAAAACAACTATAACCAATTTTCAACCTAATAGTACGTGGCCTGCACAGATCAAATGATCTGGATAAGAGCTTTACTACTTAGTAAAATATTATGTCTAATGGATCAGAATTCAAAATCCTGCTAAAATGCACAATTTACCTAATCTAACTGTATAGGTAAAAGACCGGGTCAGAGCAATTTTTGACCCATGACCTGCCAGATTAGGAGGCCCATACAGGCCAACCGCTGAGATCAAAGCTCTAGTGCCCACTCTCATGAATTCAATAGTAGCAACCCTTTAATATAAGGGCAATAGTTATTAAAAATATGAGATTTACTAATTTGAATGATGGGTATTGCTATTCATACCCCATTTTAGCTATTCATACCCTTTTAAATAACAATATTTTATGATTCATTATATGAATTCAATATTATATTCATATTTCTTGTTACAAATAATTTATTATATAATCTTTATTAAATTAAGTATTATAAAATTATTATGTAATAATAAATTTTTATATGAGAGGGGTATGAATAGCAAAAATGGGGTATGAATAGCAATTTCCTATAATTATTGCTATAAATTTTACTAAAATAAAATTATATTTATTGAAATAATTAATTAATTAAACAGTATATTATTTTTTTT